AGCAGGGCTGGGACAGGCAAACGCTAGAGTTTGGTTTAACTGACCGGCTGTCTGTTTTCAAAGTGAAACAGATGGGCAAGGTCATTTTAATGGAAAGCCTAGAGGACTAGAGTCACCTGGTATGCTGCTAGGCACTGCCCCATAGACTTGCTTGCGGCATGGCTGTTCGGACTTCCTACCAGTAAATCAAGGTCAAAGAGTACTGAAAAGAACAAAAAACTGATCTCCGCTTGCAGGCATTTTAGGTCACCAGAAGTTTCTAAATATTAAATCTGCAATCAGTAGTAATTAGTAAACTGTCATTTTTTTATTTCCCAAGCTGTTTTGTCTCATGCTTTGTAGAAAAATCTACTTATGTTTAGGTTGGTTTGCTTCCACCAGAGTATGAAACGTACCACACTGCAAGCAGAATACATTGACCTTCTTCTGTTCCATAGAGCAATTTTTCTTCTCTCAATGAATTCCTGCTTATTTACACTATACCCACTGTTAAAGTCTAAGTACGCTTCAGAGAAGGATTAGAAAGGAATGTTCAAACTTGAACAGGATTGACAAATAGCTGGTGCAAACAGTCCTCCAGGACACAACCAACCATCTGTGAGAATGATTCTACAGACGTGATTCATTCTACTGCACATAGCAGGATATTTGTCTGAATTAAAGGCATGTATGCCTTCGAAAAACAGTCAGCTTTAAAGATCATTTAAAAATCATTACATTATCAGGGCTAAGCAGCATTTTCTTTTGCCTGGAGAAGATACCTTATGATCCCAAGCCAAGGTATTTAGAAGGTATGCCTTGTTTTCAGGTGCCAAGTGTAAAATAAATTTACAACTGTAGATGGACATAAATTTTGCTCTACATGTCCTTCACCTTATTTTTTAAAAGTCAAGCATGTATTTAAAAACAGACTGTGCCTAAATTAAAAAGCTATCAGATTTCTAATAGCTAACAGTGGTACTATGCCCCTTCCTTCTAACAAGGCCCTTGAAAAAGAGAACTTCCTTTTCATTTTCAACATGAATGACAGAGCCCCTTGAAGATGCAGCTCACTCCAGGCCCTGTCATGACTGTTGCAGCTTTCGCTGTCTCTCAGACTAATACATAGGGTACTGATGTTTTATAGGCAGGTATATTTGTGTTCTGTACTGTCAGGCAGCACTGAAAACTACATTAACCTTGATTAAGTCACATGATTGCATAACTCCTTCCATGTAGTCGCATACATGAGGAAGTTCTTTAAAACGATCAACAAAAAAACCAAAACCAAAACAGAATTTTAAGATTGTTTTTTTCTGATCCGTAACACACTCCTAAAGCAATGAAAATCTCTAAGTATTTACCTAGGGAAAAAACACAACCAAATCCTGGAGTAACTACTTAGTATAAGCCAACGCATACAGCGACCTACAACTATTTGGCTATCTTGCCATTTAATCTTGCCACATCTTAAAATTTTCCATTTTAAGTTTCTGGAAAATGCATAGGGTAATTCAAATGTTTACAGAGATATTTTTTTTCAGCTTTGCTCTTCATGCCTTAAGCACCACTTGTGGGAAGATAGACCAGAAAAGAAGGCTCCCACATTGCAGCAGCACCACTTATTTTTATACAGATAAAGGAACCTCTTCATCAGTACTCCAGTAGTTTATAGAGATGCTCTTTCACTAGAACACTTGTTTATTGAGTACAGTATCATTAAACAGCTTTCAATATCTTCCATATTAATGCAGAGAAATTGGGTTCTGAGCCAGGAATAGAAGTTTTGCATGTGCAAGGACTACATAGCAGGATCCAATTTGGCAAAGAGTCTTCAGTAACATAATACTTCTCTAACATTACCCTAAGTAGGAGACTATTGTACCGTTTCACATTGAAACTACAGCATTCATTTGCACAGAAGCAGGGTACTATACAATTCCTTTTTTTTTTTTTTTTAACTGATTAGTACCAGTGGAAAAGTCTTCTTTGCCCTTGAAACCCGTCATTTCAGCTTGTGCCTCAAGGTATCTCTAACTAATCTGAAAAAGCAAAAGCAGCAATGTTTCTGTGAGTAAGGTATTTTTCCCTTCAAAACTTTGAAATCTATGTGTTGTATGTTTCAGTTGAGCTGAAATGCCAAATTTTAATTTCTTGGTCAAAAAAATTACAACTGAAATTAGAACTAAATCCCTCAGACAGAACCCGTGACAGTATTTGCAGGACTTATTCTACAGCTTTGATTGTTATGTCCCTCCTACCTTTAGCCCTACCTTTCTTGACAGTTTTCCTCTGTCACATTCGTAGTGGCTGTACAGCATTAAATAAAACAAGTTGAACATAAGATTTCCCCCTCCTCTTAAGCATTCTCCTAGAGCAAGCTTGTATCTGAGACAAGGAAGATTACATACCTTGCACAATGAAGGCAATTAACCTTGCCGTCAAGATGAAATGCACAGCATGAAATTTAGTCATTGGGAAATAAAAGACTGTTGCTGCACATCTGCTACCGAAGACGGCAGGCATGTCACCGGGAAAGCGTGTTACAACCTTCAGGGCTAAGGGGTCCTGTAGCACAACTGCAGGCAGCAGTCCCCATCAGGCAGAGCTTCCTGGCGCGTGTACGCCCGCCGCGTTTCTCTCCAGGGCTGAGGTCCATTCACCAACTTCGGCAGGCGCGCAGAGATGCCTCCTGCTTTCTCAACCAGCGGGAAGCGCCAAGTACTTACCACCAGTGCGCCCTTAGACAAACCGCCTCGCACCCCCAGCTATGCCAGCAACCCTCACCGACCGCAGAAGGAAACGTTACCTGGATTTCCCTTGCGTGGTACACGATGATGAGCCCGAGCAGGATGATCGTGGAGAGGCTAATAAGGCATTTCAGAGCGAGGGAATACAGCGACTCCTGCAAGAGAAAAGACACCGCCATCCCTCAGAGACCCGCGCCCAGGGG